GAATAGGATCATTCAATTGGAATGCGACTGAATTTTTCTAGTTGAAGAGAGAAAAACATTTGTTGTTTGTCATTCGCTTTTTCAGAGTTGAATTAATAATAATTTAAAGGTAAATGACATTTGAAGACAAAATAAATTATTTGTTATATATTGTCACGATTAGAATGGGTTGTCATTTTGATGCCAAATATTACTGAACACAATTTATCTATTGCTCTCATATTTCAGGGTTTTTCACTGATCTTTTAACAGTCATTCGTTTTCTAAACGTTGATGGATTTTTAATTCACTTTACATAGGTTTCAAAGTGTTTTAGTTCATAGTCCAGTTTTCAGAATATAGGACACTTTTAAGCTTTTCGGGATCATGAACCGCTTAATCTGTCAAAATTACCACATCGCATAAAACTAGTGTACACAGATGTATTTGGATTACTGAGAATTCGAATATTTTGGCTCTGATATCCTGAAGGATTATGCTATTATATGGAAATAATGCGTTTGGAAAAATTTTTTCTATTTGTATAGAGAAAGCCTACATGAGGAAATATTCTTTTCTTTCCGGAAACGGATTTTTTATTTCCCTGGTTTTTTCCATTATGGTTATAACAGATTTTCTCTAACCAACCAGGAAAATAAAATTAGTTTCCTGGAAACTAATACAACGCATCAAATCCAACGGAAAAAAAGCGCCAGATGGCATCAACAATAAAGCTATGATTGTTCTAGAATATTCAAAAGTTTTTGGTAATTCCAATGGTCATAATACTTTTTTGAATATTCTAAATTAAACAGCGTATAAATTTTACACAGGTACATGACTTTATGTGCTAAAGAAGACATGTGAGTTTCACACTTTAGTACTAACCGCGCTGCGCTGACACGCACTTTTCTTGAAACAATTCTTCAAAAGTTTTACAAAAACGAGAAAATGATTTAGGCAACTAAAAATACTGACGAGAAATGACTAAAGAGAATGTTAAAAAATAAGCTATTTTCTATAGAAAAAACTGTCTAGATATGGACAGTAAGTACTGTTAATATTCAAAAAAAAAATCCTTTTTCTACCAATATTCTTGGCTTATTTTCATTATTCTTTTTCTTGTTTTCAGATTTACTTTTGTGGTATTTATTTATTATTACAAGCATTTAAATTCTATTCGTATTGTTGATTCATCAGTAAAATGACGAACACCAACATCTGAATACATGATCCACTTAATCTGACATTCTTCCTCATAATTCTGAATAAAAGAAAGTTCACAATTGAAACTGTATCTCATTCATTGCCTTTTGTGAGTTGTAACAGATAGAATGATACCTGTGGGGTTATGTAGAACTACAGTATAGTTATCTGACGTTTTCTATACTTTTAAGTGACCAAATTCATCTTTATGCTGATCAGTCGAAGTAAGGCTTTTATACTACATGAAATTCAATATTGTACTAAGCTTATTATTTTTATCTTTTTCGGGAATTTTTTTCTTCGTTTTATATTCTGTTTAATTAAGAAGATTGTTAACATGTAGAGAAAACTTTTTATCTTAAAAAAATTTTAATTTACTGGAAATTAGGTCATTTTAGAAAAACAAACTAAATTTTTTGAATCATGTCATCCAACATATGGCCAAGAACAGGACCAAAACGACAACGAATAATGGTTATTATTGGTGATGATAGTATCATTGATCAAATTGAAAACAACAACAGTGTATCATTCTTAAAACAAATTATTCTTCCGTCCGATGGTAATAGTAGTGAAAGGTTTGATAAACAGGTTAGTGTTAGATTATTCTGATAGAAAAAAAAAGAATGTATTGTATTCAGAGCAAGGTTCAACCATCAGATAAGAAGAATAAACCTAAGGATGGTTCTTTGATTTGTGTCGTTTGTGGATCACCAGCACATGGATACAATTTTGGTGCAATTGCATGTGAAAGCTGTAAGGCTTTCTTTCGTCGTAATGCTCGAAAAGACTCTGTAAGTTTCAGAAAATATTACATCATATTTGTGATGTTTAGATGAAAAATGTTGTTCGAATCAAATCTATTTTTTTGCCATCGTAAATCTCAATAGAATTTCTATCATCTTTCATAAATTTGACAGGAGTTCGATAAGTCGATCGAAGCGAATATTCTTTTTTTGCCAAAAAAAAACACACAGAAAAAGTCGATGATATCCGTAAGTCAATTCGTGGGATTAAAACGTTTAAGAATCCTCTGCATTTGAAAAGCGACAAGTATAATATATATCAAAATGTCCAAACGAAGCATCTCTTTGCACCATTAACTTTCTTTCAAAAATATCATTAGACTATTCGAAATTGACTCACGAGAAAACCTTTCAAGGTGCTAAAAAGCTGTCCCACTGAGGATGCGATGGTTAGATAGGGCATAGCCAGAAGTGAAACAGTCTAAGTTGGCTTGGGCCCAAGTTGTTTCTAGAAAGAGTTATGAGCTGTTCAAGTTATAAGCACAAGTGCCAATTCTACTCGTGAATGTTGGTTTGTCGAACAGGCAAAGACCTATTAACTTGAAATTTTTATCATGTCTATTCAAAACTGTGTTTTTGATGAGCTGAAAGTCTCAACTCCAAAAGAAAAGGATGTGAAGAGAACGAAAATTTTCAGAATGTTCTTCTTGACTTTGCAGCTTTTCATGTTGCACTGTTTAATAAACTACATGGCATTCTTTTTTACATTGTCGAGTGGTGTTTTTTGTTTCTCCTAGTTCCTACACTGCCGCAAGCGCATCAGTGAAACATGAAAAGCTGCAAAGTTAAGAAGAACATTTTGAAAATTTTCGTTCTCTTCACATCCTTTTTTTCTGTGGAGTTGAGACTTTCAGCTCATCAAAAACACAGCTTTGAATAGACATGATAAAAATTTCAAGTTAATAGGTCGTTTTCTGTTCGACAAAATCAACATTCACGAGCAGACTTGGCACTTGTGCTTATAACTTGAACAGCTCATAACTCTTCCTCGAAGTAACTTGGACTATTTCACTCCTAGCTATGCCTTATCTAACCGTCTTATTCTCAGTTGAAAAGCTTTTTAGCACTTCGAAAGGTTCTCTCGTCAGTACATATTAGTAATATTAATGTTAGCATAAATTGATCGATTATTTGATAATAACAGAGACTCAAATTGGACCTGAATATTCGAATGATATAATTGGTTAGTACATGTGTACAGTTTTTAAAGTTGTCAATCTTTCCGAATTTATGTATTTCCAGAAATATAATAGGAATATTAAGAGTTAATTAAGATTTCATATTTCCACAGATATTTTTAGTCTCAAAAATATAAAAATCTATTTTGACTCTGTACTCAAAAACGAGTGGAGTTATGTTTCACAAATTAGACCAAAAAAAACTACAGATAGAAAAATGAGAATCAGCAGACTTGAAAATTTTCTGAAATGGACAGATACTTGAAAAGTATCTCATGAGAACGCTATCTACAAACTGATTTTGCTTTCACCTTTGATAGGAACATAAAAACAGAATCGATCTATTGTTTTTCATTATATAGTTCAAATCACAACAGTACAGATGACATAGAATTCATCTGTTTTCTATATAGTTTTAACGATCACCAAAATGCTAATGTTTTTTTTTTTTATTTAGAATACTCTCCCGTGTAAAAACAAAGGTGATTGTCAAATAACATTAGAAACACGCCGTAATTGTGTGGCATGTCGCTTAGCCAAATGTTTTAATAGTGGAATGCAGCGTGATCGACTTTCTACGGTATCAATAAAACAAAAGAAAAATTTTTCCTAAAACTAAGTTCTAGGATGAACAAAAAGCATCAAAACATCGTCAAATAGAAGAAAATCGAAGTTTAGCATTGAATTCAAATTCTCAAACAAATGAACAAGACTTTCAATTATCATCATCCACATTTTTGGACGATGTAAGAATATTAAAAAAAAAAGAAAAAAACATGATTTCATTTATCTATTCTTGCATTATTCTCAGTTATTTACATCGATAGACACAAATATTCTTCTCACAGATTTTACTTATCTTCTATCACCTCAGCCACAACAGACGCTACTCAGTCCGGAAGATTTACAACGTGTAGAAACTATATCAGTTTTTTATCAAAAGCGTATTGAGTTTGGTAAACGAGTATTTTTGTTGATCTTTTTTCTTTTCATCTTCCTATGTTTGTATCTTAGCGGCTCGTGATGGTCTTCCATGGGATCCATCAGTGCATGCAAACACATTTTTACAAGTTCTCAACAGTCAATCAGTAGCAGTCATGCGACTTTTATCATTCTTCAAACAAATACCTGAATTTATTCAATTAAATGTAGATGATAAAGTTACCTTGGTTAAATATAATCTTACAACAATTCTTGGTATAAACTGTGCACTTTCATACAATACAGAAACTGGTCAAATCATTGAAAGTACTTCTGATGTACCAGTAAATATGCAATTCTTTCCAGTACTTCATGGTTATAAAATGTGTATGCAATCAGGAAAGATCTTTCGTTCATTTTTACATATAGCGAAATATGATCGGAAAATCATTGAATTAATACTGATTATACTTATTCTTACAAAAAGCTTTTCAATAATTAATCATTCTGATGAACAAATATTCAATGATGAAATGTCTATATATCGTGCACAAAATTATTACACAGAACTATTGTGGAAATACATGGAAACAACGCATGGATATAAAAAAGCAATTGATTTATTTAGTCAACTTATTGGTCATGCCATTTCATGGCAAATAATTCATGAAGAAATGCGAAATGATATAATGCGAACATTATCACCAGAAGATATTAATGAATTATTGCCAATTGTCAAATCATTATTGCGCATTTCATAACATCTAACTAAAAAGGTCATTTCACTGAGAAAAAAACATTTGTATCCGCTTTTTTTTGACTATAAGGTAATTACTGACACATCCACGTAGCGTATGAATGGTCTTTTCCTTTTCTTTTTGAAAGCAAAAAGAAAGTGAAAGTACCACTTCTAACTTACGAGGAAAGGTCCCCAGGTGTAAAGCTCCGTTTCGACTCTGACTTTGAACATTTTGTAGAGCTCAGTGAGTACAGCACCTAATATAAAGGGTTCGTCTGATAATGGACTTTTAAGGAACCGCGAGGTACCACAAAGGATGTTCTATAGTGATTGGGGATAAATTGTTAATGGTAGTTTTCATAGTTTATATCGAGATAGAGAGCTGAAATTTTTATCACATATATATCTAATCAAGATCTTTTATTCCTGAAAGTTTCAGCTCTCTAACTATAATTAGTAGTAAAATACATTGACAAGATCAGAATATATAAATTTTTGTACTCAATTGCTGCGTTATTTTCACCGTCTAATCCAAAAATCGAGCACGAAAATTTATGTATTTCGATCTTGTCGATGTATTTCACTATTAGTTATAGCTAAAGGACTGAAACTTTCAAAAATAAAAGATCTTGATTAGATATATATGTAATACAAATTCCAGCTCTCTACATCAAGACAAAGTATGAAAGATACCATTAACAATTTATTCCCACTTATTATGAAATAGCCTTTAGGGTACCCCGTATTCCCTTAAAAGTTCACTACCGAGACGAACCATTTATGTCACGTGCTGTACTCACTGAGCTCTACAAAATGGTCAATACCAGACTCGAAATGGAGCTTCACACTTGGAGACCTTCTCTCGTTAGTGTGGCTTTTTTGTCTATTATAAAATGTATTTTATGTTGTTTTATATTAATAATGTTCGTTTTACTTAAATTTGATCAATGTTTTCTATATAGATTGTCTACTAGTCAGAACGATCATCATAAAAATGCATACCATTGTTAGGTTTTCTCGTTCAACCAAATCGCAAAAAATCGACCAAAATTGGATTTTTCAAACAACTATAAACAACCGACCATACCATGTATTGAACAAATCGAAAAAAAAATTACCATGAATAGAGAAGAACATTGTAGGAACGTCCATATGAATTCGTTAAGAAATTTCTATTTTCTCGAAAAAGTAATATTGAAAAATAATCGAAAGTTCAATTGTTATTTTTCAGCTATGAAACAAACTCATCGACGAATTTCTTTAAATTTTCCTTGAAAATCATATTCGATGTCACAATGGAAATAGAAAATTTCTTAGAATTCTCATATTGTAGAAAGCAATGTTTTGTGTTTATCTATTATTTATTCATCTGACACTTAGACATTGTTTACAAGTTAGAATATCATGTATATACATGAAAAACGAAAAAGAACTATTTAAAGCATGGCGTTTTAATAAAATCGAACGTTAAATATCAAAACTATCTATTGAGACTTCCATAAAATGATAATTGATGTTGAAAGTGCATTGTGAATGAAAATAAAACATTGATTACCACATAACTAATCACTGAAATAAAACGAGAACGTCTTAGAGTGCAAGACTAAATTTCAAATGAAAAATCAAGGAGAAAAAAGTGGCTATTGGAGGATCCTGGAAGCCCCAAAACTGTTAATAGTCATCACGATCTACTAGGATCTACTATACGAATACTGAGGATCGAAAAATTAATCAGTAAAAAAGATAATCGAATTTCAGACTTACAATCATGAAAGAAAGTGCGAATTTAGGATATTATAATCTTGCTGGACGTAGATGAATTTCGATAAGTTTGGTGATAATTAGAATTCATTACTATTCAATAAAATTTGCGTTCTTTTCTTGATTCTGGATCACCACGAATTACGATGGGCTTGAACATATTTCAGTGAATTGTAATAGACTACAGTACATGTTTGTGAATTTCAGTAAATCCTAAGGTAATTCGGTACAGGTTGATACAAGCAGAAAAACTAGATTCTAGTGGATTGTAGCAGGATTCTTAATAGAAATCTGAAGCGAAGTATATTTAGGTATTTTGTTTTCATTGACAAGGTATTTGTTGTTGGATACTTTCGTCCATGGATGGCGGATTCATACATGCTCAGCCTCACTTAAATTCAAGCTTGACATTTCGTGAGAATATACTGAACAATCCAAATTTTCTACTCTTCACGTCACCTCACTTGTGTAGCTACAGAAAAAGTTTCTTGGTCCTTGCAATTTGTCAACAGTGGTCTAAGCAGTGCATTGTTTGGTGCGAATGTGCAGAATCTGCTATCAACTTATCAAAATTTCCCCTGTGGGGTTTATCGTATAAAATTTCGTTACTTCATTTTTGAGACCAAAAGCGCAACTCTCTCCTTGACATAGTTAGCAATCCATCCACTCATGATAATATTTCAGCTAGAATAGGTTTGTTTAGACTGAAAGGACGTGCGTATGGGTGTGGGTGTAGATCTTCATTAAACCCACACCCACACCCGTTCGTACGAAACCATATATGTATTCATAAAATAAGGAATCGAATAAAGCAATGAAAATCCACCAATTATAGATCGATCATATCTTACATATCAATGTTTTTGTTCGAGTCAAAATGACGAACAGAATGAATCAAGTTGAATTAAATCATTATTTCCTTCAAAACTAAACGTGAACTTAAACGAGACAATGTTAGTTAATATAGGTTCCCAGACCAGGTCCTCACTATACATGTGATCACCAATAATAATCAATTGATTTAATTGTATTATAGGATAAAGTAATTGTTCAATAGCCAAAAGATGAAAACAATTAACATGAATCGATAGTTGTTGTAAATATTTAAGAGAATATAAATACGTATTTTCGATATGATAATATGAAGTTATTTTTGTATTAAGTGAACGTAAATAAGATATAATTGAATATAAGTGTTCTATATCGACAGCTATATACAATATAGTACGCAAATAGATTCAAAATAAAGTGAGAGATTTAATTTGTTTCATTTGATTTTTGATTGATTTCCAACGATTGCTATCAATATGTGATAGACTAAATAAATATAAAGCACGAAATATAAGTTTCATAAACTCTATGTACGAGATGAATCGATGAATCTAGATAAACATTGACGCATCATGTCGATTCATCAATTTAATTGAACCAATTCGAGATGATACCCAACTAACCATTCGATAGGTATTTCGATGCGTCGATTTTGGCTTTCGTTGGGCGTCGAAATTTCAAATCGACCTCTGAAAGTGTTATTTTCCGATGGGTCGAGGGCTCGGTGATAGGTTGTTTTTACTATCAGTTTTCAACCGCTCGAATAATCGTTTCCGCTGGATCGGAATTTCATCGAAAAAAATAAATTTTATCCGATAGATGTCTCAATTTCGAGTTGTCCAGACCCATCATATATAAATTTCGAGTCGTCGAAACCTACCGAACATATGCGGAGAAGTAGATTTGAATAGGGGTACTTACGATTCACTTTCGTCGAACAGCTGAGCTAAATATGAACTATTATTCGTATATCAAAACGACCTTTTTAATTCATAAGAAGATAATACTTATTGTTTTTCATGCTTTTTTATTTTATTTTTTGAAAACTGAAAATAATACTTTTTTGTCCAGAGAGAAAACTTTCTTTTAAACATTAGAAATAATATTTTTCATCCAGAAAAAAGATTATTTTTTGAACACTAAAAATTATATTTTTTTATCGAGAAAAATTTTTTTATCATGAAAAAAAATTTCATCAAGAAAGAAAACTTGTTATATCTCTGTAAGTGACACAAGAACTTTTTTTTTATTTAAGATTCCGTATAAATTACTTATGGAATAAATATGATGTGCAATATGCGATAATCGATCAATTTGCACGTGGAAGTATGAGGTCAATATTTAGTAATTTTTTTTAAATTCACAACGTGGACATTCATTATTGCTGTCGTAGTCAAAAAAGCATGCGAATTTTATTTTTAGTTTCAATCGGTGGACGATCAATTTTGATCAGAAAATTCTGAAATTAAGGTGAATTATGAAGCAAACTCGAATAATTCTACTAAAATTATTGAATAAAAATAAAGAATATTTTAAAATCGGATTTTGAAGTTTCACATGATCAAGATTATAGACTTCTCTATCAAAACTGTTATTATGATCGGTTTTACTCTTTTGAAGCACTCAAAATGGTCCTTTCAATATGTTTGTTTTAGTCGAGTGATTAAAATGTGTTAGAGGAGTCAGTAGTATTATTTCCATGGGTGACTTCTCTCGAAGTACTCGAAACTTCGATGAGTGCCGAGGTGTCGAAATATATACAACGAGTCGAAAATGAGTCGTCGATAGGACACAGTGTCCGAGTCCTCGGAATTCGATGGGTGTCGTGGGGACCGAAATTGAAACAGAACGAACAAAATATATATACATGTATATCAAATTTTCGACCGCTCGTCGCACCTATCGCATGCTTTTTTTTGTTTGTTTGAATAGATATACCGAACGTTGGCAGAAATGATTAAAATTTCGGCATTTATTAACATATTGGAAATCAAGTTGAATGCGATGATAAATGACAGATGCAGAGTGAAGCCATTTATTTATGATAATAAACATGTAAGAATATCACACATCGATAAATTGTCGAAAATTTTGTGAATTAACTCGATGGATAATTTACTCAAATAATCCATCATATATTCCTTCTTGTTTTATTTACAATAGATTGATAACAGTTGTGTATGTCCTTGGATCAGGCCCCGCGAAAGTTGGGGGGTGTAGGGGGGTGTACACCCCCCAATAATTAATAATTACTCATTCGTAGCCAACAAAATCCATAAATCTTTTTGAAATTTTTTGCTAGAAAATTCTGAAGGGATGTTTAAATTTTTCGCTTCCCGAAAACATGACCACCGGAGCGTATTCGACCTAGAAATATCTGTGATTTTTCTGTTTTTAACGCAATTTTACTTCTGTCTTCTTTTTGAAGAGCTTTATTTTCCAACAGTCGTCACTAGCGTGGTCGCCTTCGGCGGCGAAATCTCTAAGAGTTATCGCAACACTTTTTGCTTTCGAACAACATAAGGGAAAAAGAGTTTTTCGTGAGTCTGAAAAATGTTTTCGCTTCGCGAAAAATAACAATTGTGTAACCGCAGTTAACTTAGACAAACTTCCTATTGTCCGATTCAAAATAAAAGGCAGGTTACCATTTTTCGAATAACTTTTGATAGGAACGAGATAGAGAGGTGCGGTTTTCACAATTCGAAAGAGGAATGTCTGGGCCATCGATCGGTATAGAACTCATTGAGACGGAAGATGCTTTTTTTTATAGGCACCTTTGGATCAACACTTTTTCTTTTGAGTATTTTCATCAATTTTCACGATAATCTCAGCTCAAATTATGTCAAAATGTAGCTCAGATCACCCTCTTTTCGCTATAAAATTATCACATATTTTATTATCTCTCAATCGCTTATTATAAGCGGGTTTAACAAAAACAAATGTTAATTTTATAGCGAAAAGAGGATGATTTGAGCTACATTTTGACATAATTTGAGTTGAGATTATTCTAAAAATTCATGAAAATACTCAAAGGAAAAGTGTTGATTCAAAGGTACACATAAAAAAAAAATATCTTTCGTCTTAATCAGTTCTATACCGATCAATGGCTCGGACATCGCTCTTTCGAATGGTGAAAATCGCAGCTCTGTATCTCGTTCGTATCAATAGTTATGCGAAAAATGGTAACCTGCCTTTCATTTTGGATCGGATAATACTTTAGTCAACTTTTCCTTTGAAACAGCTTGATATAGAGCAATTTGCACCAAAGTGGTCGCTTTCGATAACGGCAGTATCGAGAAATTTTCTCATATTGGACTCGAGTTCTCTTCTTGAAAATTTGCGAGAAAAAATCAAATTTTTTAAGGAGGTTGCAAAAAGTTGTCGCTTCGCGAAAAATGATTACATTTTAGGCCCGCAAAAAAACATTAACATCAGATCTGATGCGAAAAAAATTTTGCTTCCCTCAGTCTTGACTGCCTTGAAATCTCGTCGCACCCCCCCCCCCCCCCAATCTTGGGTCCCTCGCGCGGGGCCTGCCTTGGATACAAGTATATGTTAATGAATGATGTTAATCAGAAATAAATTCGACTTCGTATGTACCTTTTATTTGCACAAATAATAAACAATTAAGATGAATGCGATTGTTTGAAGTGAACCAAACTCAAATGTGTTAGTCCATATTATACTTTTTCCGATTACGTTTAAAGAATGATTAGTAGATGTTGCTAGCTGGCAATGAACTATTTTCAAGAATTTAGAATCGGAATGTCCAAAGCCAGCTGTATTTCGAATCCAAATTGCATAGATCATTTTTTTGGTATTCTATCGGAATTGACAATATCAGTTTTGTGGGATCGAAACCGTTAATACCGACTCCGATTCCAAGTTCGATTCGGAATCGACCATTCTAAATTTGAATGATATATGTTATTGCAGCACGAGAGTATAGGTGTGCTTGTGTCTCGAAAAACAAGTTACCACAATGTGCTTGTCTCAGCAACAAGCTTTACCGGATGGTACAGATAGTGTCTGCGTAAATCTTTATTCTGTTATTGTGTGAAATGAAAATTTGAAGAAATAAGAACTTCCAGTATTTAGTTAATAATATAAATAATGAAGATCAGAAGAGTAGAGTTTTCATAATGGTTGTTTATCTGGGAGAAATATAAATATATTCGCTATGGTATTATTCTCTCTGAATGAACTCATCAGGTAATTTTGGGCAAAACTAGGTGGGGATGTAGAAAGTTAAGTCAATAGAAGTGCATCTCAAGTTTTGCTGTTAAAGATGATAAAGCGGTCGAGTTAGTATGGAAGAATAATTTGGCGAAAAAATAAATTAGCACATGAGACAAGATTGTGTTACAAGAGAAGTGAGATAAATTATAAGTCTTCGTATGAATTATTACCAGTGTACGAGATGTGGATTTTCTTATTTTCTTCAACAACACGCCGACACCCACACCCACATGTTTTTCTCTTGATACTTGAAATTTAAAAAAAATTTAAAAAGATATTCATTTTATTTTGATGATTTTTGACAGTCTTTCAAAGAAAATTAGAATAGTGAATGAATGATGTAGATAAGGATACATATTTTATAGAGAACGCTTTTAGAGGATACATTTAAAAAACTGAAGTATATAACTGTTAATTTCAAATTATTAATATTTTTTTAGGCTTTCAAATATAACCTAAGATTTGAGCTTCAGCGTATTGAACAGAATTTTCAGGACCTCGTTGTGAAGTAACAAGTAGTCGATAACTTCTAAAAGCAATTGTATTCGAGAAATTTTGCGGTGGCACATATGTTGAGCGAGCAGGAGCGATTACAGGATCAATACCTGTTGGGCCACTATATATCAATGTCCAACTTGAGCCGAGATTAAGTGCCCCAACGTCTGTGGCATTTGTTCCTTCGAGAGTTATTGCTAGTGGATCACGATTTGGAAAATCATTTGCAGTTGCAAAAAGAAGAGCAACAGCCACAGAAGCAGTACTTATTGTTGGTGTTACATAAAAGCCAGTATTTACTCCAGGATCATTTAAAATGGCACTAGGGGAACCTTGAAATCCAAAATTAAGATATTTCGTACTTAACAAACCATCAATAACTTTTGGAGGCTCTTCAGCAGGACCCGAATATCTGCCATTATAAGCACCCGTGGATTGGCCAGCTGAAGTATTATATAAGCCGACAATGGGATCACCTGGACTTGTTATTGAGACAATTGTTTGTGAAGTGTTTGCTGATGTCTGTGTTATTGTTATAGTTGTAGCCATTGTTATTGTTGTAGTTGTAGCCATTGTTATTGTTGTAGTTGTAGCCATTGTTATTGTTGTAGTTATTGTCGTCGTGGCTATTGAAATCTTCACTGTTATGAGAAGGAGACAAAATCAAACATTATCTGCTGATTCATTAGGTGAAAAATTGATGGCAATGCAATCTATGCACAGTCAAAATTTATTGTTTTATTAATGATCAGTTTTGCCATCCTAACGAATATCGAAAATAGTGAATTTCCACTCAGCTTTCTCTCTAAGTCGAAAAGTAACGTACCAAAATATATTCGAGCCTTTAGCGAGACTTTATGTACACATTTGTGACTGCAATCAGTCAGAGTAGCTTTTTCAAATATGTATATCTTATATTTTTGAGCCTTTATATGGTAGATCTCATTATCAAAATCTTTCAAACAAAACGTCTGAAATCGTTGGATTTCAACAGGTCTGCTGTCATTTGTTTGCTTCCTAATTTTAAAAATTTCAATAGTCCTATTCTCGAAGATTATCAAAGATTGTAATGACATCATATTCTCTGACGACGGATGAAGAAATGAAAATTTTTTGCCAGTTTTTTTGAAGCTATACACGAACATAGGCTAAAAATCTCCATAAAGAAGGTTTCCTGTAATTTTCTTTCCTAATTGGAATGAGTGAAGCGGGCTCAGGCTAGTGAAGAAATCTGAAATTTTCACAAAGTATAGCTGAGCATCTTCTGACAGTTGGATAATCATTTTAATGACTATAAAAAGCATGAAGACAATAGATTCGTGTTCAATGCCATCGAAATAGAATGCATCAACTATTATGAAATGTGATAACACCCAAAACAAAAAGATTATACATTATATTAGTCGTATACCTTTATTTGTCCGTTCTTTTCATTTCCTTTTTTCCTAATCGTCAAGGATGAGTTTCGGTTTGAGTGTGCGTATGAGTGGATGTCGGTTTCCGTGAGCATATCTACATTCGATCTAACTATCTAGTGACCTACCTATCTATCTAACTAACATGCTGAACTAACTCCTTCGGTATCTACCTATGTGTATCACTGCCTATCTATCGATCTAATTATCTAGTTAAATTCCGAAGCAGAAACTTTTCTCCTTGCCTCTTGTAATCTGTATCGCATCTGTTCGGTTTCCGATGAATATTCAATACAGAATGTCTTCAACCTTGGTTCTGTAAGTTGAGCAAATATATCGATAACATAAAGTAGATTATCACCAAGGATTAGTGTTCATAAGCGATGCAATAAAATTCCAAACACTCTCCTTAAATCGATGGGACTGTGAGTGTGGGTTTGCATCCGAATGAAAAGGAGTCTGACATCCACACCCACACTGTGGAAAAATTTCAAGGAAAAAATTCACAATAAATGATAAGTCAAGTTTTGACACTTTAAAATTATTTTTTAGAATGTCTCAGGTGTGTCAGCTCTAGTCACGACCAGAATTAAATCTTGAGATCTTGATATTTTGGAATCATATATGATATACAAAGGTCGAAATTCCTATGCGGTCAAATCCAAAATCTGTTGATCCTCCAAGTTTTCCAATATCTGAAAATCTTCTGTTTTTTCATGAAACGTCTGTTAAGTATGCTAGTCTTATAGCCTTCGTCAAGTCATGCAGAAATTGATATTTAGTTTCTATTCGATTCATGCGCTAGCTGGAGCAGGGCAGACTCAAAAGTCAATTCTACCGAAAAATAACCTCGAAATCTAATTGTCTTATTCTTTGTGAGTTTTTTCGAATTTTCGGTTTAACTATTGGATATAGGGGAGACCCATTTCAGTTATAATGTGTTGGAGTTTTACAAGTAAATGGACAAATTTTATAGGCAGTTCAATTGTAGTATCAGCTACTATGTTTCCCAAATTGGCAAGTTCCTCTAAATAATGGGTTCTAGAGATTTAGGTCTGAAAATTACTTGACATAGACGATATTTTATGTTCTATCGAATGGTTAAATCGAAATTTCTAAAGAACGTTCATGAGGAATAAAACAGCCAGATTTCAAGGCTAGTTTTCCATTAAATCGTTTTTTGAAACTGCTCTGCTGTAGTTAGCCCATGAATCGAATGAAAACCAAACCTCAATTTCAACACCACTTGACGATTGCTGCATAACTAAATCTTGTCAGGAAAAAGTAGATGTAAAACTGGCAGGAGCTGCATGGAAGCTCCAATATCCCGATCAGGATATAGAAGGTCTCTTCCCATTAAAAGAGATAGGGATATTCCTAGGACTATATGATATAGTATATTGGTTTGACCACCGTGAACCAAAAATGAATTTAAAAATTTTTGTTCTTTTACGGTCAGATGTTGCCAAATGGCAACATTCGATCGAAAAAGGGCTAAACGAATAGATCAAAACAATTTCTATACCTTCTTGTATTTATACTATCAATAATTATTGAAAACTTTAATTGTTGTACTTGAAAATGAATACGAAATAGGTTCGTTATAAAATAACTGATAAACTAATATGTACTTTGGTGAGCAACAGTCAGAATAAGGATTCTTACTATATTGTAAGCCATCAGGACAGGATAGAAAAGTTGTGCTGTGCCCAGCTCTGATTCTCATCGTAACTGGTAGCTGTAAGATCCATGCGATTATCGCTATTGAAATCACCCAGAACAAACCCAAAGCTCGCAGTTCTTAGTTTATATAAGCACGACTAGTTGAATGTTAGATTACTATTGAGGGGGTCTGCACATGAATGAACATCATCTACGTGACAGTGCGCATGTCTTGGGGTGAAACCTCACCCATTTTATATGGAGATAAGCTGTTCGAAAGAGTTCTTCTCTTAGCTTCAATCTTCGTTGAACAACGAGAGTAAAAGTCTGAATCTCTTCTTAAAAATTAGGAACAGTATATGAATTCGTATTTCCAGTAATTTAATTCAAGAGTCGAAAGATCAGCTGTTTCTCGAAAACAAACTACGTAGTTTCTGCCAAGCCACGAGGAGTTTCGATGCATTTGAGGTCTTTCTGACATCGAGCAGGTTTACTTGATTCTATGCAGCGTCACATAGTTCATACGTCATCAAGTGGAGTTGAAATATGTCTCTTAAAACAACTCATTTGATGATACTGATCTGTGTTGTATGCTGATTGTACACAGAGTTTAAATCGAGAGAAAGTTATTGAACACTGACACATTACTCCTATAGGTCCTGAACTTTAGAAATTCAAATTTAAAGAGTAATGAAGTTAAGCAATGTCTTCTTTACACATTCAACAACTCTTTAAACGAACATAAGTACTCATCAGTGATATTTGCTGTGATAGTGCTGCTTCTCGTCATCGTAGTTCCAGTAATGATAATGCTACTATTCACATTGATTGATGAGCTACCTGAAATGTGTTAAATAAGCCGCATTATAATGATATACTGTACGAAGCCTTGATGACTCCTCTAGATCGACTCTTGCTACTAGCCTGGAGAGATTTTCATGCTTTGCATGGTGATGATAGTTGGCACCACTGTCAATCAGAAAACATATAGTGCCGGAATTCTGTACAGCTCTTTAAAAATAGCAAATTACAGAATTTTTTATGATATTCAGAATTGCCAGAATTACAGCATGATTTATAGCTAGAAGGCTTTGAATTTGGAAATTTTCGAACGCTATTTAATCATCGAAAACTTCAAAAGTAGATCAAATGACTGTAAATGTGCGACTTAAACTTTCGAAACGTCGGGATTATCCTTTTCAGAACCCTAAACAATTTCGATGATTAGTTGTATTCAAAGGAATACAACTTCGAACTATCATTATTACCAGATACAGATCTGTTCAACTTCTTGTCGAAAAAAGTTGAATACTATTCGTTGTCGCTCTGCTACTACTTTTTATTGTTATCATAACCATGGTATAATTAGATCCAAGAGAAAACATGTAACAGAAGAATGTATCTTCATCATACAGAGCCATTTTGACATTATTTCATTTCAATAACTAAGAATATAGTTATGTGCAGCAATACATACCAGATGAGAGTCTTGTTGTATCTAAGCTTGATTCTTTGCCTGAAGTCAAGAACACAGTTAGCCCAATTGCTCCAAAAATGATAATGGTGGTGACAATTACACCAAAGACAATCTTCAGTTTTCTCTTCTTTATTCCATTTCTGCAAAGAAAAATAGCAAGAGGGGTGAGCTATTAAAGAAGAAAAAAACCAACATACGTGACAGAAGCTGACTTTGTTTCCATTGACGAATGATCGATAATGTTGCGTTCTATAGCAATATGGAGCTCGTGAATCTAGAAATAACATCAGTTCAGCATCAACACAGCTCAATTCTGCTCTGATTAGTATTGTCAACATGATATGAATCAGATGTTAGTCACTGTTCTTTACTAAACCAGGTTAATTAATGCAGGAAACTGGAAGATGTATTATTTTTGGAATGATATTTAGATGATTATATGAGATATCGCTCTTCTTCCTTCTTTTAGTATTTCTTATTCTCTATGTAACCTATTGCTCATATGTAATGAATGATTTTTGATGAAGCTCAATCGAAAAAGATACTAGATTCCGAGAGTGAAGTCTCATATGACTGAACTTGTTGATATTCTGAATGACCGTTGTTCATCTTCTTGTGTCTTCATTGATATCTAACGGACTATCATGTACGAGATGTTCATCAGTGTTGAACCTCATATGTGAAGGATTTTCTGATGTTTGAATCATCCATGCAAAAAACAATAAGCAAAAAAGTCAACACATTCGTGATTTTCATCGATTTGAGATGTAATCAATTGATAAAAATCAAGCAATTATGATTTTTTGGGATTAAATTGAAGGTTTTAATCGATTTTTCGGTAAGTTTGATTCGAAATCAATGTTTTTTCATCAATTATCATAGCTTCTTTCATTCAAACCCAATAAAGCACTATAGGAACAAAATTAAAATGTTCATAACTTATTAAGAAAGCGCTAGAAACTCAAATCCTTTTAGAGTTTTTAGTAGAACATTGAATAGTATCTATAGACAAAAAAAATCATTGAAATTGAAGGGGGGGGGGG